GGAAAGATAAGCCCATATTTCTGATCAGATCCTATTTTTCATAGATTTTTATAGCTTTCAAAACAGTTTTTGTTTCATCTTTTTTCATAACTTTAAATACATGCAATTTCAATTTGCAATATTCTAATATTGGATATAACTTATAATTTTGTGATGTGATAAGATAACTATCCAGTTATATAATCATTCTGCTATACTATTTTAAACTTTATTGCTTTATTGACAGCTTTAAATTTTGATCAATAATATAATTATTATTCTCATTAAAATTTGTTACATATAACATTAGCAAGATTTCTGTAAACGAGCGTGTAGAATAGCAGTGGAAAATTGCAAAATTTTTAAGACCAAACAAAGTACGGAATATTGAAAAATTTTTTCCAATCATAAGATATTTTTAGCAAGTTTTAACCAAAATTTTAGAGACGAATTTATTTGTTTGATTTCTGAGTGAAAACGTACGTCAAGAGTAACGTGTGCGAGCAAATACGGGAAAAATCGTACTGGTAAAAGATTAGAAATCGTTCTATCCTCTTTTTTCCCTTAATAAAATCCGTTAATTTCTCGTTTTTGTTATGATGATTTAAAACAGGAAGATAATGAATATTTGACCGACTATCATCGAGTAGAAAATAAAAAATAATTCATTTGTAATACGTAATCCATCTTTTTTTCGTTACATTTTTTCCCTCTTCTTTATGATTAATTTACATAAAATTTTAAGAATTTAAACGTAACAATTAATCCTTTAAACATTTCAATTTTCAAGAATGAAAAGACTAAATTTTGAGCAATCAGCTAATGATGATAATTAGATAATTTATGGCTTCAAAATGTGATAAAAAAATTTTCAAATTTTTAAATTAACTTTAAAAACTTGTATTAAAATATATACTTTCCAAATTCTAGAACGATTTTTCATTCACTGTCAAACATGTTTGCAAAAATAATAAAATGTCTTCTCTAATGCCATGCAAATTTTACTGTAAAAGTATTTTATCGGATGAGCTAATTTAACGAATGAAAAAAAAAAAATTCATTCTTTCGATTAACGGAAATTCATGGACAGTTAATTGATTTGGTGCAATTTCATAAACAACAATATATAACGAATTATTATTATTTAAAATTTACATACGATCATTATCCCTTCGATTTCGAACCTTTCACTCAAGATTTTTACCTAATAATACACGAATTTTTCCAAATATTAATGCTACTTGGATATTTTCATCGCTATAATGAATTCATCAAAGTGAACAGAACAAAGATCGCGGCGACGTTTCTGATAACTGAACGTGTCGGGAGTGCAAAACGTAAACAGTGACGTGAAGAGTGGAAGTCGACAGGTTTCCTTGCTGTGAAATACTTCCAGAATTGATAGCTTAATGAATGATGATACTGCAAATTTAAATGCAAACATATATATAAATAAATGAAATTAAGATTGACGAGCTTCAAAATTGTCACTTTTCAGACTAATAGAGGAAAATTGATAACTTAAAATTTCAAACGCTAAAATTTGTCTGATATAACATGCAATTGTGCGACGGGAGCAAAAATTCGTTTAATGCATAAATTAATAAATAATCGCATACTGTGATTTTGATCAAATTTCGATTGGATTTTAAATTGGGCAGGCCGAAAAACTTGGCGAATGAATTTCGTCAAATTCGCAGCTTACACATTATAAATTTTTGAAATTTTTGCTTGATATCTGTGATTGTCTTTAATATTTCATCTTATAGAATGCTTTTTTGTATTTAACTCTGAATGAAAAGTTGTATAAATTTAATATCATCATTTTAGCTATTCCATTTCAAATTCCACCAATTTATCAAAACAAAACTTCATCTTTGTTATTATCTTGTATTTTTTCTCTTTAATTTAAAAATATCACAATGTTATAAATTTCACTATTTCAGTTCTTTTTCGAAGAAACATTTTGCACAGGAAGGGAAGAGAAAATGAGCGATAAAGGTAAGTAATGTGTTCTTTGCTTAAATTGCTTGCATAACTAAATTCATAAAATCAAATTATAATTGTTCGTTACAATTTTAGCTACAATGATAACTTTGAACGGTTGAATTCTGTTTTATCCTTTGCTTGTATTCGCTGTTTAAAGAAGAATTTTCAATTATTTCACTTTCAATTATTCCATCGTTTGTAATACATCCAGTTAAGAGATTTTATTTGAAAAAGCTTTTGAAAATTTTTTCTATTTCATAATAGCTTTCATAACATATCATAATATAATTTCATAATATAATAGCTTTCATAATATTTCATAATAGCTAATAAACACCTTCTTACTGGTAATTAATTACACCGGATAACGAAATAAACGTCCAAATATAGATTTTTCTGTTTTTCGACACAATCCGGATTCTTTTAAACATTTCCCAATATCACAATCGCTATGGTCCTTACATGGCTCGCCAAGTTCGTAAATTAATTCATTCTCCACATTTCCACTGGAATTTTAATTTATGAATGAAATTAAACAAAATGTGTACGATTTATTCAGTATTCATCACGGTAAGAATGAAAAAGAATTGTCTAAAATAGAGAGAGAGTTTGTTGAGACATAGGTCAAAGTTATAAAATAATAAGCTTAATGACAAATAATAATTATCGACATAAATGTTTCGGAACATTTTGCTCTGAGAGTAACATTAAGGCTTACCGGGGCAAATAATGGCAAACGACATTGATTTTATGACCATAATTGTAGTGTAAAGCGCTACCGCAGCCAATTTTATGCGTTTTACCCCAAGCCATCTTAAAAATGAACGCTTGCAAATAAAACCTTACGAAAAGCCATTCCACAGTGTAAAGGTTATTTTATGCAAATTACATGAAAAAGAAAACTTATTTATTCACTTTTATCTTCCATGCAAACAATAAATTGCTAATATTGTTGCAGTCTTAATAAATAAAAAAAAATGACTGATCATTAAACTTAATGATAATGCCTAATTAATCTTTGCACTCATCAATGTCACCGATAGTTATTGTAACCTCTTCAATATTTCCAGCTCATATAAAATAATTTGTATAATTGATAAAGTAGCATATTATCTCAGGTGTAAAGGGATAATATTATTTGTTGAACTTACTTATTGCGAGAAACAATTTTGTCAATTTGTTTTGTATAAAATTATTGTAATTTCGCTATTATTCATGCATCGAAAAAATAATGATTTTTTTTTTTTGAACAAACACTTTGAAAAGACGGAAAATATGTAATTTAACATTTCTACGAAATTTTCCATACCTGTGTGAAATGCAAAAAATTTTGACTAAAAACAGTGTGAGTGAAATTATTCGTTGGATTATCTCCGTATTCTGTCGAAAGTTCCAACCACCAATCTTTGACTGCATCCGTACAAGCAGCAATTATAGCTTCTGAAAACCACATTTCGTTCATCTCTCTGCTGGATGGTAGTCCATTATTACTATATTATTATTATTCTTTATTATTATTAATTATGTTTATTATTATTGCTAAATATTCTTATTTATTGTTATTATTATTGTTGTTATCACTATTGTTATTGTTATTACTATTATTATTATTATTGTCATTGT